ACTTGTTTTGATTCACTTTTCTTTTAAAGCATCTATCGATCTTAACTTTATTGTTTCAACGGCTACATAATCATTTATGATTATAAGTTACCTGATGCGCCGGTACGCTGGAGAGTTAGAGCGGTAGATGTGGGATTGTGTGGCTAAGGTTGAATCTCAAGATCTCTATTTTATTTTAAATCTCAACTGAACCTCTGTCTCTCTCTCTCTCTCTCTCTCTCTCTATATAGATATATATATATATATATATATATATATATATATATATATATATATATATATATATATATATATATAGAGAGAGAGAGAGAGAAGGGTTATTTGGAAAACAAAAAACCCTAAAAAAACCCTAAAACTCATAAAAATGCATAAAAAAATATTAGAGATGACAAAACTTTTTTTTGAATTTTTTTTTTCATCAAATTTTAAGAAAAAGTTGCGATTTTTTATAAAAAAATTCAAAAAAAGTTCTGTGATCTCTAAGTATTTTTTTATGCATTTTTTTATTGTTAGGGTTTTTTGTTTTCCACAGAACCTATATATATATATATATATATATATATATATATATATATATATATATATATATATATATATATATATATATATATGTTGAGTATTTTAGTGTTGCGTCTTTTGGGCCTTTAGCATTGTATTTTATATATTTCGGCTGGGACTGTCCACCTGTCTTTTATTATTAGGGTTATAGTATTTAAGGTGCATGCATGCACCGTATTTTGTATCTTTCGAAAATATATTGTAACCCTATACGCCTCTACATTAGCAATTCTTAATCGAGTTCTTTTGAGGTTGTGGCTTATAAGCATTCAACATATTTTGATCTACTTGTCGTGTTCTTATTCATTACTTGTTTGAATCTATTTGATACAACTAGGATTCAATCCTATCAATTGGTATTAGAGCAGGAGACTGTGTAATCTATACGCATCTCTTCCGTTGAAAGAAGCTTTTTAGGGTTTCCGCTATTATTGGATCTTGTGTCAGTCATCATCGTCATTTGTTCATCTGTTGACGCTGATCTTGCTCTTAATATTACCCTAATCTTGTTTACACATCAGGTTTATACAGGTTTTGTTCGATATACAAACATGCATTCAAAAGATTCTCACGTTAATTCAATAAATCTCTCAAACAACATTGGATCCACAACAAGGATTCCTATCTTATTCACCAGTGAATATGAAGTGTAGGCGTTTCATTTTGAAGACTACGTCCTTCGCCTAGAAGACAATGGCTATCTGATCTGGCATGCTATTACCTGTTGGGGCGTTTGTTCATACTAGAACAAGGAGAGTAATTAAAACTTTGGCCGACTATAACAAGATTCTTATTGAAGTGAAGGATGTTCCACAAGATGAGAAGGAAAAGTGAATTAACAATGTCAAGGCAATGAGGATTATTTGGTTTTCCCTACCGCCAGACACATTTTGTTTGGTTAGTTCATATGATAAAGCTAAAGGTATCTAGGATAGGCTTAAAGAATTGTACTCTACTGATGTTGATATTCAGCATTCCACTCAAACGTTGCTGTTGTCAGAGTTTGGAGCTTTTGTGTTAAAACCTGAAGAAAGTTTAGATCAGACCTTCAATCGATACAATCATCTTCTTCGCAGGATGATGAAACGTAAAATTGGATGTTAGCTTATTGAGCAAAAAGTCACGTTGATGAATGGTCTAAGGTCTGAATAGAAGGTCATTGTTTCTACAGTTAAAGCACATGAGCGGTTTAAGAACTACACGTTGGCTAAGCTTGTCGGTATCCTAAGGTCACATGAAGATGAAGTGACAAAAGAAGGGAAAATTGTTTTTGGAGTAGGTTCGCTGGCACTGGTAGCTAAGGGTAAGAAGGCTGCAGAATATGATTATTCGGAGTTTGAGCTCTCCATTTGTGAACTTTCTATAGAAGAGTTCGAATTGATGGTGTCCAACCCAAAGAGGTTCGCAAAGAAGAACTTCAACAGGAACAAGAACCGAAACTGGAAGGGAAGCTACAACTTTGAGAAGGTAAAAGAGGAGAGTGCAAACAGTTCTCAGAAAGAAGATGACAAGAAGGAGAAGAAGCTCATGGGTGACTCTGGGAATGATTGTAATTACTGTCATGGAAAAAACCACCTAGCCAAGGATTGTACGCTGCAAAGGTTGAATGAGAAGAAGGAAGGAGAAGAAGATGAGACTTACCATCTCCGAAAGCTCGGGGATATAAAGAAGAAAAAGAATGCTGGAAATTCTATGCCTGCTTTGATTGTGCAGGAAAACTATGTTGAAGATAAATTTGAAGGGTTGAAGTCTAGTCCACAAATTCTGAAGATGAGGAGGTTCGCAGACATACTCATGGAAGGAGTTTCGTAGCAAAGGAAGAAGATTCGTAGTTTGGAAGTAGATGCCTGATGGTGACAAATGATGTGTCAGTACTAAGAGGATATGCTACCGAAGGTGACCATGTTTCTAACAGCTGCTTCGTTGCAAAAATTGTTCCTGAGCAAATAAGCGAGTGCGAGCAGCTCATCAACAAGGTAAACTCTATTCTCGAGACTCTAAATATTCCCTTGTCTCGTTACAAAATTGAACTAAATGATTTAAAATACACTTTTTCAAGTTTTAATGACAGTTTAAAAAGAACTCGTTTGACAAACTCTAACCTAACTAATCAAATCAGCAGGGTTTCGTCAAAGAGTGAGGAGAGACGTATATGGATAAATGATTTTGAGTCTGATTTATCTAAGTCTAGGGATGAGTCGATTTATTTACAGAGGGATAATTTGAGTCTTTTAAAACAACGTAATATTTTTTTTTGATTGCCAAAAGACTGTATTTCAATATCACTCTGTTGCATCTTAATTGTGAAATTGGCAAGAAAATCCACAAGATGATTTTTCCCTTTCTTGAGATGAAAGAGGATGAAATTGACGTGGATTGCTACAGGTGCGAATCCATCGTCTCTATAGATGAAACCTCAGATGCATACAGAGGAGGACTGGACAAAATTGAATCATTCATTAAGTCCAAAGATCATAAAAACATGCTTAAATAACTTTTAGATGAAAAACACAAAGAGCAAATTAAAACTGAAATTGTTCATAAATTTGACTCACTAAACACCAAGTTAAATTCAAAAAATAAACTTAACGTTGAAAACGTTTCTGAATTTGACGATGAAAGTGATTTGAGTCAAATCTCTATAGAGGATGAGGTTGACTGCTCTGAGTTTGTCAAAAACGAACTTGCACATGCGAAAGTCTTAATTTCTGAAAATTCATTCTAGTTCGCAAATATATTTTTGAAAATAAATCTAAAGTCTTAAAAGCCAAAGCAACTATTTTCCCAAAAGTCCAAACTGTTCCTAACCAAGTTTTTGCAACCAAAGGACTGGAAAAAAATCAAACAGATGAATTAACGTCTATGGTCGATGATGACAACAAAGATGGATGTGATAAGTACTTCTGGTCTGCTCCAATCGACAACGTAAACGAAACTAAAGGTCTATCTGAAATGACCTCGTAGAGAACAAAGAGCAGATACGTAGCAGAACCTCTAAACAAAGTAAATATAAGCTATGAAAAGGGAAGTCCAAGTGGAACTAAGAGTGTTCACCGTGATAGATCATCAGTTCGTACCGAAACCCCTACCAGAAAGCCAAAACCCAGGGCCAATATTCACAAATCCACAGAGCACTTCGCAACTCAAGAACGTCAAAGGAGTTCTAGATATAATAAGAATCTTAAGGAAAGAAAGCAGTTCTGGCAGTCCAACAATCCCAACTTCATTCATAAAGAAAAGTCCCATCCAAATGCGGAAGTCTCTTTATCGGCGAAGCCTAAGACTTTTCAACAAAATCAAGCACATAAGGTCTCACATCAAAAGAATGTTTCAAGATCAATTTAATTGGACAAATAAATCTTTAATACGGTACAACTCCTCGTTATCAACTTATAACTTAATTAATATGTTATGTAGAAAAACTAAACTCTTTTGTTAGGATGGAACCGAAATTGCTAATATAAGAAAAAATGTATTATTTTATAAATCTTCAGTTTTTAAAATAATTTGATTTATAAAAATGCTCGGAGTCAAAACCTATAAAGCTCACTAACATTATTGTTGACATATGTTTAAACGTACGTATCTCTAGGTACTTGAGGAGGCTAGAAGAACACACGTATAATGAGTGAATGAAGGATTGATTTATGATAATAAGCTGTTGGCTATGAATTAGGCCTTTTGTCCTTTCTGATGCTTTGCATGAACTTGTATTCCACGTTCAATGCTTTTGGAATTATTAAACATTGTAATTTTACGTACTAAAGCTTTGGAAGAGTGTAATGTAATATGAATCCCAATATTATTCTATATATGTTGTTTAACTATTATCCAACGTTCAAGTCTCAACCTTGGCGCTTCCGCCGACTGTATGGGTGTGAAAGATTGGTATCAGAGCTAACGAATATAGTGAATTAGTACTTTCCTTAGGAGAGAACGACTATAGTCTAACGTCTTACTCCAAGAGGTCTAGGTATTCCTAAACTTATAACATCTTGTTAATTAACATACCCTTATAAGTCTACGACGCATTATGCCTTGGTTCTCTCCTTAGAACTATGATTCTATATTCAGGTTTATCCCTATAAACCTACAAGTGATAAGTATTTTTTTAACTACACTACGAAAGTAGCAAATATAAATTAATAAAACACCAAAAAAAATTCAATATGAGGAAAAATATAAAGATACAAGAGTTTAAAAATCAAATAATCAACTACGTTCCCTAGTACATGTGTCGTACCACCACTCAACCTAGTTGTGTGCCTAAGTTTTATTAAGGTCAGATTCTACATACTATTTAACCTATGTGAATTAATTGATTCGTTAAATGATTGGAAAATGCTAATAGAATTATTATTAACTCATAAATGATTAAAACTGTGAAATATATGTAAGATATATAAAGCAAAATACTGACAAAAACTAAATTTATGTGTAGGATGGATCATCGAGAGTGGGACGAAAATCATCAGGTGGTCGACTCACCATTTCACTTGCCAGGGGATCTCTCCCCACAGGGCGATGACGCACCAGTACTTGTCGCTGAGAGCGAACCGGAAGAGGATTCAAGCATGGACCTGAAGGAGGAGCTCGAACGAAAACCTGTTGAATCAATCGCAGATGTGACTCCTATAGAGGACGATGAGCCTGTTGAGTCCCCGGTACCTATCTCTTACTACTTCGGTTCTAGAATACCACGAGATCGGAAGCATGCACATAGGTCTATCTCGACTTGTGGCGGTGTCAAGAAAAACCCTTGAACTTGGCTCCCCAGCTTCTATAGAGCCTTGGACAACATGAACTTGTGTAATCCTTTTCGTATTGAGACGGCACTGAACCAACTGCCTGAAGCTCCTCGTGATGCTCAGAATAGGAGGCTAGATGATCCGGCATGGATAGCCAACATGGTGAACGCATGGGTGAAGGATCAAGGAGGAAGTCATAGATATGAGATCGGGCAATCTTCTGGGGCAAAACCTCCAACCATTATCTTAACTATTTGATCATACTATGCAGCTTGGAAACCAGGTGAAGTCTATGGGTAATACGGTAATCTGTGTTGGGGGTAATAACGCCCATATGGCTAGACAAATGAGAGAAATGGGGGCCAAAAGAGATTGCAATTATGAAGAAATGAGGAGGGACAGAGGTAAAATCCACTTTATATATGAATTTATCATCATTAAGGAGATTCATAGGTTGGAGACGGAAGGAAAGATCCAGGAAGCCCTAGTGAGGGTTGTCGAGGCGAACGCTAGAGCGAGAGGAGTGGAAAAACAACTGGGGACTGTTAAAGAGTAGGTACAAGAAATCTTGAATGCAGTATCTCGCAACTTCAGGTTGGGATAGTTTCGATCGAAGTGATGATTTGGTAGCAAGGATATGTGAGCAAGTCCTTATTGATTGCTAATTTTTTTTTTGTAATATGTCAAATATGTAATAGGTTAAAGGGTCGCCTTAGTGACCCTCGGATAATATGATTTATGATGTAAGGGGAGGGATAGCATGAACTCTCTAAAGTCTTGCGATTTTTTCATGTGGCTGACTTTTTGTAAACATGTTAGAGTTTTAATCTCTAGCATGTAGTTATTTTCTTGTTGTATTGCAAATAAATGTAAACCCCCGGAACAATTGTGTGAGTATAAAGAAGCATATATTATTATTATTATATATTGAACTATGTGATAATTGGTGTGTCAATTTATTTATTTTCGTTTCAAGTATAACAGTAACCTCTTGTAAATAATTTGAAGCATGAATCATGAAAAACTTACAATTGAAATTATTAAATAGATCAACATCATGCTGCCAAGAAGAAGGAGCGATCGACTAAACAAGCGATCCCAACCTAAGCGATTGGAACCAATAGATGCACCCACAACATCCCGGCGCAAAAGAAGTAGACCCAACACAAGGCCACCAGTAACTCTAGTTATGGATACACCAACTATTGGTGCACCACCACCACCCCTGAGATAGGACTCCGTCAAACAACTGTTGAGCTGGAGCAATTATTTTCAAACCGCCTTGTGATCCCTATGGAAAACATAAGGAGCGTCCTAGGTAATACTATGGAAATGAAGGCATGATTGGTTTTACCATGTGTTTCAAAAGGATAGAGTCCATATTGGAGATCAATTACTACGCTGAAGACAACAAAGGCTGCTTTGTTGTCTGTCCTATCATGGATATAACACTATCCTGGTGGAATGACGAGGTAAAGACATTGGGCATTATCCCTGCCAACTGTTGACTTGAAGGGAGCTAAAAGCCATGCTGATAGAAGAGTACTGCCTCATGGAAGAAGTTCAGAATATGGAGAACAAACTGTGGAACCTAAAGATGAGAGGTTCAGACATTAAATCCTATACAAGAAGATTTAATGACCTTGCCTTGTTATGCCCATCACTGGTACCCCAAGAACATGTTAAGATAGAACGCTATATTTGGGGATATTCTCCCAAGATCAATGGTATGGTCATGTCTTCAAGACCTACGACCTTTGAAAGTGTTAAGAATATAGAAAACTGTCTGACTAACAACGGGATCAGTCAGGGAACTGTGGAATCCAGGGTTGAAACCCCCACGTCTAAGTCAAACAAGAGAATGAGGTCATCAGATGGAAAATCATGTCAACACAAGAAACATGAAACCAATAAGGTCCATGTAGTAACTCCAGCAGTAACAAGAACACTTGTATCACCAAAGAGCCACACAGGCAAATACCCAAAGTGTAACATCTGCAATCGATACCACATCAAAGAGTTTTACCATTGCACAAAATGTAACAAGAAGGGGCATACTGCAAATTTCTGTAAGATCTCTACAATTACTGGAGGGAATCCGAAGTCTAGAACAGGATTTGGTAATGGAGTGTAAAAAGTATGTTTTGAGTGTGAGTAGAACTAACAGTTCAGATAGAACTATACAAAAATGAAGAATCAAGGAGGGAATGCTCACGACGGAGCATTTGTGATAGGGAATAGGGAATCCTTTCAAGATTCTTCTATGGTTACTGGTGGGTTTCTTGTTAATAACTTGTATGCTATGATACTTTTTGACTCTGGTGTTGGGAAAAGTTTTATAACTCCATCTTTTCAATAATTTTTAAATCACGATTCTATTAAATTAGATTTAGCATACGAAGTAGAGGTAGAAAACAGTCGGGTAGAAAGTACAAATAAAATCTTAAGAGATTGTTTGTTAACCCTAAACGACCACACTTTCCATATAGATATCATCCCTATTTCTATCAGAATCTTTGACATTATCATAGGTATGTATTGAAATTTCTCTTAACCATGGCGTGATTTTGCGCTATGAAAAAGCAATACAAATTCCAAAATAGGTTTATAATTTGCAATTAATCTTTTTGCGGCAACGATATTGTTACTTGCATTCTCAAAGAGAATAGAGAAGATTTGCCGCTTAAATTAGAAGTCTCTATAACACTTACTAAAATTTCAAATAATCGTGCCCCCGTATGAGGATGTGCAAAAAGTTAAAAACCAATAACTTGTTTGTTCAATACCCAAGTAAAGGGGTTTACCAAATGTGCCATGACGGCAAGATATCTTTTGGGACAACTTCCGCTGGAGGACCAAACATCACACGTTAAAGAAACACTGGTTTTTATATTTAAAAATCTGAATTGCATATCTTTTTTGGCTATACCCTAATACTTTGTAGGATCACGTCTAAGATTAGTGCAACTTACTTGTCAGTATTGAGGTTGCATTTTTTCCCGCAAAATCCTTGTCAACCGTGGGTTGTCGAAGTGATTGAAAGACAATCCCGCTGAATCATGAGCTTGCGAAAGCCTTCACGAATATCATCATTTTCGTACATAAAAATCGCCCCGCCGGGAGTAATGTTCAATTGATCCGAATCGTCTTGACCTTTTACAACCGGACAAGTTTTAGTTGCATGACTCTTCAAAGTACTGTTGCCATCTTTACCCTTTAACAACACGCAGTTCTTGTATCGATCTTTTTCCTTCCCGTTCGACAACAGCACCATATCAACATGTTCCCACACTTCTTTATTCCGACCGGTTGGTAAGATTTTCACCACCGTTACATCATATTTTCTGGACCACCGATGGCGGCATAATTTATTGAGCTTATTTTTTTAGTGTATAACGTCCTAAAAGAATTAAGAGTAAAATTTTCATTTTTAAAACAATAGGTCATACAAATAAGTTATTCCAAAACCATTCAAGTGATTACGTCATGTAAACATCAGAGTCAAAATCGTAAGTAGCCAATACAAAAACTCTGGGGGGGGGGGGTATGCAGTGCTGTTATGTCGGACCCTTGCCTTTAGAACCAGAAGTACCTAAAACCATACACGTAAAAGCGTAAGCACGAAGCTTAGTGAGTTCCCCAAAATATCAGATACCATACATACAATAGATATTCTTATGTACCAACCATAGTCATATAGTTGCTATTATTCCATGAGCTGTATCATTGTCTTTCCTTCCTAAGTTGGGGGCCAAAAGTCGGGTCTTACAAACAAGTGCCAAGAGCCACCTCGTGGTCTTCCATGCAAGTATCACAAATACAACTAGCATTCTACATATAACTACCAAGGTCCATTAACTGATCTTTCGTATAAATTGTTGGGAGTAATGTCCAGGTATTTCATAAAATTACCAGGTGCCACCATCTGGTCTCTCTACATAACATAATCCAGTGAGTCGGTATTGGTGCCTTCGACCCATATTTACAGTGAGCAAACTCACCTGAATCACAAAGCGTACTAACACTCAGTTCAATACCGCACCTACCATAACTAACTACTCTATTGCCAAATGACAGGTGTTTAACACCTCCTATCAATCCACACAAAGTAAACCCTAAGTCTACCTTCTAAAAATAAGATTTAACCAAAATTCAATCCAAGCCAAAAGTCAACGGTCAAAGTTAAAGTCAACTGCTCAAAATGTTAATTATTTAGTCTCACATCGTAACCACCCCTTGGTCATGTCATGAGACCTTACTTGGTCCGATTCTAACTCATCTCGACCCAAATCAACCAACTCAGACATGAAATGTTGCTAGAGATGACCTCATGACGTGAGCAACTTTCTCTCACGTCGTGAGCCCTATGAATCTTAACAGAAAAGGGATCATTCAGTCCTGACATTGTGAGATCCTTTGTCTCACTTCGTGAGCATAATCTGAAGTCAAAAATATAAAAATTTAAGTCCTTAATCCATTAATCCTTTTATTAAAACTTTCCACAAGGTCTTATAACTCCATAATACACTCAAAAGTCGATGCTTTAGGGGCACGTATGTCCAATACATGTCTAGATCTCATTTGGAGCCAAAATTGAAGAAAAGGTCATCCAATTTTCATGCAAGGTTCCAAAACCCAATCATTGGCTAGATCTGAACCTTATGACACTCTAAAGACCCTTAAAACGCATAAAGTTGCCAATTTTATGGTTTGTATTCATTCAAACTTGCTCAACCAAGGAGAAAAGTGGGACAAGACTTTCCAAAATATCTAGCCACAAACAAGAATAAAGGTGGATGCTTTGACACATACAAGGGTCCAGAAACAATGTGAGGTGATGATGATGATGATGATTCCCTGCAAGCCTTTCCAAAAGATCCCCTTCTTCTTCTTCTTTTCTTCTTCAAATCAAGAAGTGCCAAAAAAAGCCAAGAATCAAGCAAGGATTGAAGGCTAGGGTTTTCTGAGGTGAAAGGGGGTTTAGAGGCTCATACTAAACCCTACAATTGGTTTAG